ATATATATATATATATATATCAATAATCCATTAGTGTCGCGTACCCCGACTTGTTGGTTGACATTCACGGTATAAGACCCTTCAGGTAGGGGGTTCAAATCCTCTCTAGCACAGTTGGCCTTAAGAAAGTGGTACTCGAATAGTTAGGCACATTAGGGGTGATTGGAGACTCGTATAATAGGAAAAATAAAAAGAAGAAGAAGAAAAATAACAATAATTCATTAAACCGAATCAACCTTGATGAGATCACCGCCTCATGATTGAAATATGTTCATATGATGGATTGCAGTGAAACTACTACTGAATTGAAAGCATTCCAGTCATCCAACTGCTAAAGAGTATGGACTAACAAACATGGCAAAAAGAAATAATACAAGATAATACATATGTATTCATACAAACATAGGTTAGAGGATGTCACATACCAGTAGCAGCTTATTATTCAAACTTTCGCAGTAAACACCACAGGAGTTCTTCAAGAACAGGATTGTAGCATCATTAAAACATCTTTCCGATTCCATCTTTACGTGGGATGGATTCACCGAATTCCATCTTCCGCCAGTTTCCTATAATTGAAGCCAACTGTTCGGTCTTGTCAAATAACCCAAGTAGGCCACCTGTGTGTATGAATAGAATCTTTCTCCCCTTCCATTTTGTTGGGTTCGCATCTATGTCCTTCAGAAGGGCATATGCAGCTTTTCCACTAAAAAAAAAAAAAAAACGAAATAAATGTTTATATTTAGTAAGGGAAATAAAATTTCTTGGTTGCTATGCAATATGTTGCATTTGGAGCAAAAAAGGAAGGAAAGAGAGGGGGAGGAGAGAAGAAAAGGAAAAGGTAGAGAAGGAATTTGGAGATAACCTTGGTGGATTATTTTTCCCCCATTCTTACTCAAATTCTTCTCAGTGCTGGCTACCAAATGTTGCTTGGATATGGTGGAGAACATTCCATTTGCTCAATCAACAAGGTCATAATTTAGTTTATTATCTTGAATTCAAACTAGTTATGGGGAGTCTAATGAAATGATGCTCTCTAGGATTAAAGTTAATGTTAAGTGGAGCTACATAACTTATATGGAAAGAAGTTTGTGGCCCTGACGCATAGTAGATGTTTGTACGTCTAATATTCTTTCTACAAATAAAATTCCCGTTGGGTGCAAATATGTTCAATGTCAAATACAAAATAAATGGGAGCATTGAGGGGTTCAAAGCCAAGTTGGTGACTAAGGGCCCGTTTGGGGCAGCTTAAAACAGTGGCCAGCGTTTTGAAAACGACGTCATACTATTTGATTTTCACGTTTCTATTACGTTTTAGAAACTGCAGTTTCGTTTTTGTTAATAATGTCGCCCACGGGATAACCCCCGTGGGCCACGTTCCTTCGCTACGTTTACTGTCGTATTACTCCGTTGCCCTCTAAGCATTCACGATCGAGGCCTGCCCTTGTTCAGCGTTCCTTCGCTTCCAGGTAAAGCCGCGTTCCAGGTGTTCTTCCTTTGCTTCTGGTACTGTATCGCGATCGAGCGCCCAAGCCTCTCCCAGTTCTTTCTTCGGTATTACTTCTCTTCCAGGTAAGAACATGTCTCATTGTTTTTGTTTCTTCTTCTGTTGCGACACTTGCTGGCCTCTCAAACTAGTGAAAGAAGAACTACAACCAACTAAAATTAGGTCCCTAATCTTCTGCTGCCTACTCACGCCATTGTAGTCAGTCTGGTGCTGGGATGAGCAGAGAGCTCTGGGGTTGGCTATTGTGCCTTACTTCTTCTCCATTGCCATCCTTAAAGCCAGCCACAGGGAAACAGGCTCAAGTTAAACCAAAAAGACAGCAAGCAGAATCCTCATACAGAGCCTCTTAGGTCGCTTTCCAAGAACTACCGAAGCCCTCTGTATGCCATGAATGGTGCATGATCTGTCTCATACAGAACGCAACATTATATTTTTTTGATGTTTTTCTCTGCTTTCCAATGTGTTAACTGTGTGGATAAGCCTATTATTTTGTCATACATGGTAACTTTAGTTTAATTACTCTTTATTTTATGGATTAATTGGGCTTATAGAGGGACATGAATTAGTCTGATTACAAAGAGGAGATACATTTAAATGAGTTTGGATAAGCTTCGGCTATTTTTTCTTGATTACTTCTTCCCCAATTTAATAGAAAGAATTCCATGTGATTTATGGAATTTATTTTGAGAAGTGCAGTTAAAATTTTGATTGGATACTTATGTATTACACTTTCTTAAAATAAAAATGACATTTCATTTCTAGAGTTGTTAACGAGATGATTTCGAAATAAGTAGGGGTTGGCTCAAATTGATTGAGTGGGGCTCTAAATTGGCATGTGGCTCTTTATATTAACTAGTATTCTAGTGTTTGTGCTTCTTTTTCGGTTCAGTGGCTACCTCATGCTTGGGTTGGTTTTTTGAGACGGGTATGATGAATCATGACTCTTTGGGTTCTCATGGATGAACTCTCTTTTGCCCTGCTTTTCTACATATACAATTTTGGTCTTAAGTGCTTTTGGCAACCGTGATTCTCTGTTATATGGTTCTTCTGCCTTCTCATGATGACATATTATTTGTCTCTTTATGCTAACTCTTAGCTTTGATATTTAGCTTTGATATTTTTGATGTGCATGCATACCACAAAGTTTATATGTATTTACATATCTAACTTCTAAACTTGGTTATTTTCACTTTCTTTATATTTTGTTTAAATGTTTTATTTGGGTTTGTCAAATTCTATTTTTAGAGGGTTGTGATAAGTCATATGACCCAAGTGGTTCTTTTGGATTGACCTTCTTATATGCTTTTCTACATAGAAAAATTTGATTCAAGTTTTCCTGACAAACAGGGTTCCCATCATTATGGGTCTATTGCCTTCTTTTGATGGTAGATTATTAATCTATTTATGTTTACTTTGAATCACGAGTTTTTATTTTTATATAAACTTTGGTTGAATCTTTTTGATATATTTGTCAAATTCTTTTTTTTATTATGTTGGAAATTAATATGTAGTCGTTACAGTTATGTTACAAACAGCAACATTGCGCAATACCAAAATATTCATTTACTCAAAAAAACTGCAAATCAGTTGTTTTCAAAACGCAAAAACCAAACAACTAAACAGTTTATTCAAAACAGGGGCAGAATGATCATTTATCCAGAATCAGCTATTTTTCAAACGCAAAAGCAAACAGTCAGACAGCTTATCTGAATCCGCTGCTGATCAGCAGATCAGCAGTTTATCGGGATAAGCTGGATAAGCTGCAGCTGCCCCAAACAGAGGTAGTTGCAACTTATCCAGCTTATCCAAATAAGCTGTTTATCCTAATAAGCTGTTGATCAGCAGCTGATCCGGATAAACTTTGTGCGTTTTTGAAAACAGCTAATTCTGGATAAATGATTATTCTACCCCTGTTTTGGATAAACTGTTTAGTTGTTTGGTTTGTGTGTTTTGTAAACAGCTGATTTGTAGATTTTTTTAATTAAATGACAGCAGCTGATCCGGATAAACTGTCTGACTGTTTGATTTGTGCGTTTTTGAAAACAGCTGATTCTGGATAAATGATTATTCTACCCCTGTTTTGGATAAACTGTTTAGTTGTTTGGTTTGTGTGTTTTGTAAACAGCTGATTTGTAGATTTTTTTAATTAAATGAACAATCTGACACACAGAAGTTGTAATTTTCTCAACAAAAGAACAATGTCTACACATTAGCTATTTTAGAACCAATACAACCCATTTATAACATTACGAAAAAGATATAAACCTTTACACGATAACCTAACTAATAGTCTCTACATACCTATTAACCATCTAGCTTCAATCTGATGGCAAGAGTTTTATCCTCCATGACAAATTAGTACCATTTTTTTTTGGAAAGTTTTCATCCTGCACTACAAAATAGTACCAATTTTTTTTTCTTTGGAAAAAAAAAACCATTAAAAGCCTTTCAGCAGCATAATTTAGAGCCAATTTTGATCTCATAATGGGTACATATCTACCAATTTCATGTTCTCTAATTGGTGCACTTAGTTAACCAAATTTGAAGACATTTTAAAGTTACATATCTAGCAACATAAACACTCATTGGTGTTATAAGTAAGGTTCTAAATATGTTAAAAAATAATATAATCAAATGCTATAACAGCTCAAGTATCAATGCATTAAATGAAATTAGCTCTGTTTACTTCAACAGAGCAGAAAAAAGCTAAAGATCACAGACCTTCCTGTCCTACAGTGGTAGCCCTTCAATAAATAAAATACTCTAACTTGCTTCTCCTTCAACATAGCAGACATTTCCACATCCAACCTTGCAGCATCAAACTGGTTAACTTTCGAAATTGAAATTGATATCGGTGGCCACTAATCAACATAAAAAGTAACGAAATAAAAAAAAAGTAAAATATTTGTTAATGTCATCGTTGAAATTTTAGGCGAACAATTCTAAAGTTCCCGCAACAACCCTAGCAATATATTGCCCGTGCAGAAGAGTAATTAGACAAGAAGCAGTAAATCACTCTAGTTGCCAAAAACCGTGATAGCCACAGAGTAAGAAGGAAAAGAACGATGCAATTACCTGGGAAGACTGACTGCGGGTAGAACTCAGCACTGGAATTGATTGTGGCCGGAGTGACGATGATCACGTGGTTCCTTTACGCGGAGCAGCGGATGAACAAGGTGTTCTTGGTTGAGGAGGTGAAACTTGTGGTGGAAATGCGAGGTTATAAGAAGGGACTGGTGGATTCGATGAAATAGAGGAGCGAGTCCATTGGTTGATGGAGTCTGAGGGAGGTAAGGAGCTGAGAGCTCGGGCCGCTGTGGTTGGCGATAGCGGAAGGGCGGCGCTGCGGGAGGGTGGGTCGTCTTATGAAGCGATGGTGGAGATTGTGCGCTTGGTGAGCAATGTCTGCGGCGGTGGACTGGGGTTCTCCGGCGAGAAGCGGTGATTCGTTATTATGGGCGAGAAGACCAAATTACATAGACCACCGAAACTCCCATCTTCATCCTTGCGTTTTTAAATCTGCCTGTTTGCGCCTTCTTCTGAGGTCGAGGGCAGCGGAGTAAAGAATCCCGAACGAACGTGGAACGCGGGGTTGACCCTGCATCCCGTGTTCATTAAGAAATTAAATAAGCAGTTTTAAAAACGCTGGCAGAACTTGCGAATCAAACAGAAAGGCAGCGTTTTGAAAACTTCGCCGCACTTTTAAGCTGCCCCAAACGGAGCCTAAAGACTTCACTCAGTCTTATGGGAAAGACTATTAAGAAACATTTGCTTTAATGTTCAAGTTAAGCATTGTAAGGATTCTTCTTTCCTTAGCAGTGAAGAAAGAATGAGAACTTAAATTAACTTGTTATCAAGAATGTGATTTTGAACGGAGTCCTCAAAGATGTGCATATGAAAATCCCACAAGGATTAAAAAATGATTCAAATAAATATCTCACTTTATGACCTCAAAAAATCTCGAAGGGCTTGGTTTGATTAAATTTAATGATACATCCAATGTCAAGCGGATCATACACTGTTCATAAAACATACTCAGGAAAGTAAGAAGGTTATACCCATTGTTTACATAGATAATATGATCCTGACAGGTGATAATGAAAAGATGATTGGCAAGATCAATGAGTTCCTTGCCACTTAATTTGAAATTAAGAATATAGGAGAGATGAAATACTTTCTAGGAATGGAAGTGGCGAGGTCCCAAATGAGTATTATGATATCCAAAAGATAGTACAACCTAGACCAACTAAAAGCGACGTAATTGTTGGGATGCAAACTTGCTGAGACTACTGTGAATTTCAACAAAAAGTTACTTTTAGGGGGAGAAAAGACACCAGTTGAAAAATATAGATATCAAAGATTAATGGGTATGCTTATCTACCTGTCACACACTATACCTGATATCGCTTACTCTATTGGCATTGTGAGCCAACATGTGATAATCCGAACAAAGAGCAATTAGAGATGATTTACAGGATATTGAGATTTAATAAGAAGAATCTTGATAAAGGGTTACTGTTTAAGAAATCAGACAATAAGGATGTAAATGTTTACACTAATACTAGTTTGGCAAGAGAACTCACGAACAAAAGATCCACTTCTGGATATTATTCCTATGTTTGCGGAAATCTTGTCACTTGGAGGAGCAAGAAAGAAGCAGTGGTCTCTAGAAGTAGTGCAAAATCTAAGTACCAGGCACTTGGTTTGGTAATTTTTTAAAGAATGTGAATACAACAACAACAAAGCCTTAATCCCACTACGTGGGGTCGGCTACATGAATCCTTTTTCTCCATTGCGTCCTATTTAGTGTCATAATTTCATTTAGTTCTAGTAAATTAAGATCATTTTTAATACAATAAGCCCAAGTCTTCCTAGGTCTACCTCTGCCTTTCTTAACACAAGTCGAATTTAAAACATCTACTCTCCTAATCGGATCATCTAATGGTCGACGTTTAATATGACCAAACCATCTAAGACGACTTTCTCTAATTTTGTCTGTCACAGGAGCTACACCAACCCTATCACGAATATATTCATTCCGCATTTTGTCTCTAAGTGTAAAGCCACTCATCCACCTAATCATTCTCATCTCGGCAACACTTAACTTATTATTATGCTTCTCTTTTAAAGGCCAACATTCAACGCCATAGAGCATTGCAGATCTCACCACCGTCTTATAAAATTTTCCTTTCAGTCTTAGCGGTACTTTTCTATCACACAAAAGGCCCGAAGCATTCCTCCACTTCAACCAACCAACTTGAATTCTACTATTAACATCCCCATCTATATCACCATCGCTTTGGACAACGGACCCAAGATATCTAAATCGTTCACACCTTTTAATAATTTGATCAAACCAACTTATTAAACCAAATAACAATGAAAAAATAAATATTATTACCAACTTCCAATAGAAAATTACAACAAACAAACATAAATCTGAAATTGCAACAAACAACAACACAAATTCACCCTAGGATTAGATCCAGAGGTGGTAGTGGTCAGCAAAGTGAATTGGTAGGGACAGCAGGCTGCTGAAAGAGCAGAAAAACAGCAAGCTTGTTGTTTTCTAGATGATGGCAGCGAAGGAAAGGGGGTGGCAAAGGTAGGGATGGCTGGAACAGCAG